CATTAAAGTACGACACGAAGGCCGAGTGAAGCATGCCGACTCTCCGCACCTCGTCCTCCTTCAGCTTCTGGATCTCGTCCTTGTACTGCTTGCTCTCGAGTTTTGCTCTTCTGACCTCGTCTTCTAATTTACGACAGTCGTTCTGGCACTCTAGCTGCTTTTCGGCGATGGTTCTGTGAGTGAAAAGTTTGTATTTCTGAATGTCTGTATCTCAATCTTAAAGGTTCTTTCTTCTTGTATTAATTTTATATCCCAAAGATTTTGCAAAGCATGTATTTATATTTCAGCCGTATCCTGCTCACTAAGTTTACCTGAGTCGAGCCTCCTCCTGTAATGTTTATTTTGTGGGGGAAATCGCTCAAAGACAAGAATAAATGCCAATTTGTTCAATTGAAATATGTAGGACACAAATAAATGTTTCCAGAAAGCAAAGAATTCTATGCAAATCACTTCTACATTCTTTAAAAGAATAAGATTTTCTTCCTTTTTTTTAAAATGTTCTTATTTATTACTTTATTCAACATTATTAACATAAAATATATTTTGGGAAATCTTTTACCAACATATCAAGAGGGATAAATCTATACCCATGAACAGCTGAACAGAGTGAGAACTGAAAATCTACGGGCATGAACGTTACTGTCTGATGTCATTACCTTTGAAGTTGTGAGATTGTGTTGTTCAACTTGGCAGTTTGTGTGCGTTCTTGTTCCAGTTCTTCAAGCTGCAATTTCACTTCATCTCTCACTCTGGATTCAGCTGCCTTTACCTCCAGGGCTTTTCCCTCAATTTCCTGAGGGTGAAATGATACTATGCTTATGTATGTCGTATATGTATATATATATATATGAACACACACACACACACACACACACACACACACACACACACACACACACACACACACACACACACACACACACACACACACACACACCAAAATAAAAAAGGAGGGGTGGCTGAAAATATACACATGCATGCATGCACACAACCATACACATACTAACTAGTGAATAAAAACGTACTGCCTCCAGTTGCGAAAGCTGGTTCCTCAGTGTATGCAACTGTGTGTTCAATTTAGCATTAGTGGCTGTGAGTGATGAGCAAGATGCAATCTGACTTCGCATTCGCTCCTCTGCATCATTGCGGCTTTCCTCCATAGCTCTTAGTCGCTCCTCTAGCCCATGCACAATTGCTGCCTGTGAGGAATAAAAAATTTAGACATCATTGCATATTCAACTCTGTTGTGAGTGTTGGCTAAATGTACAGTGTGTATTATCATGTGTACCATTTAATATTAATAAACCTAAAATCATAACTTCTAATCTCACCTCTATCTATGCAGAAAAAATAATTTCTTTCTAAAATAATAATAATCTCTATCCCATATTATGTTCATAGCACCATAAAATTTATGTACCAAGTTTTAAAAGTTAAAGAAATCAACATAAAATTCTTTATAAAGAAACATGCAACTAAAGTAGCCATTAGGAAATATGCACATAGTGTGAAAAGGAAAACATACCTAAGACAATTTCTGCACCTTTCTCAGTATTAATTTTCTTATCTTACTTTAAAAATAATAATAAGAAGAATTATGTTATGTTTCTTATCTTACTTTAAAAATAATAAGAAGAAGAATGCTCACTCTAATATGAATTTGTAAAGCTTTCAGTAATGAACATTAATTTTTTTCAAAATAGGTATAATCACTTTTTTAATTCAAGAATATTCAGGTTTTTAGTACAAATGCATTCATTCTTTCAATATGACATTATTTTTTTCAGTACTACCACTTTCTTTCAGAGCAAGGATTTTAATCTCTTATTTATTGTACAAACTTATTCATTTTTTTCAGTGTGCATACATTAGTTTCTTCAGAATAAACATATTTTTTTCCTTAGTATGCATACATTAATTTTTCCACTGATTTTGACGCTGGTACGATCCTATTTCTTTCTCTTACATGTTCTGCTTTCAACTGCTGCCTAAGGGACGTCTGCTGGGACTGAGATGTTGTTCTTTCTGTCGTGACTTGGACCCTAAGGCTGGTGATCTCTACCTCTGTCTCACTCCTTCGCACTTCCATATTAGTCAACTTTTCACGCATCTCAGTCTGTGAATGAGTGAGAGGAAGAAAGGTTGTACATTACTATATACGTCAGTATATTCACAAGTTTTCCATGAGATCAACTGGACTTTTTAGTAATGTTCATTAATTATGACAAGGAAACTTCACACTTATTAGAATTGTTAATATCTAACTCCTCTGGAGAACTGATTAGTTTATACATTACAGCTTTTCAATACAACATAATAGAAAATTTATTCTGAAACAAAGACTGAACTGAATTATAATTAATAGTCCTTTTATTTATGTGTATACATCAGTATACATAGATATAATAGGCACATTAACACTTCATGTGGGATTAATTTTAACACAGTACCTCAATCTGCTGATATTCATTCTTGATCCTCTGCACCTCAGCATTATGTTGCTGTTCCATCATTCTCATTACCTCCTTATGCTTTGCAACCTCAGAGGCCACAAGTTCTGTTAGTAATTTAAGGAAAAGCTTGTAAGAACAAATTTCTCAAAAATAGAACATTCTCAACACAAGAATGAAACATCAAGTTAATCTATTGAAATACACAAGATAATTCAGGGAAAAAATAAAGGTACAAACATATCAAAAAGGTCCTAGCTCTATAAGCCACATTCAAATGAAAACAGACATCATAAAAAAAAAACAATAATATAATACCAACAGTTAACAAAAAAAAAAAAATAATAACTTAATGTACTAACCTTCGCATTCTGCTCTTGCGCCTTTTACTTCCGACTGCAATGAGCACACCATCTCTCTAAGGTCAAGTACTTGTCTCTTTTGGTTGCTCTTTTGGAATTCCAGTTCTCCAATCTACATGTTTAATACATTTATTTACTTTTCAAAATTATGCAAGGGGATATTTACTAATAACAAAGCAAATACAAATTAAGGAGTGATGATATGCCTCAGGTATTGGGTAAAAAGAAAGAAAAAAAATTCTTCAATCCATACACAATTACATATTTTCATCTACCATGCTTATCAAATTATTACATATTTTACATCAATGACCTCCTGATGGTAAAATATGGATATCATGCATATTTATCTTCCTATCTATTTAATAATAATACTGTACATACCATTATATATGTACATACTGATTCATAACAAGGCAATCTCAGACAGAACAACTTCTATTCTCTTTTTTTGTTTTTTTTTTTAACAATTTGTACACCTACCTGAGCCTCTAGCTTTGCAACTGTGTTCTGCACTGTGCGTTCTATTTCACTATGTTCCATCTTCATAGCCTCCATTGTCTGAAATGAACACACTGGTTAAGAGGGTTTTATAATTACTATCATAAACAGTTAAAATAAAATCAATAATAACATTTAAAAAAAGGTTAAAATAAGGGAAAGAAAAATAATGTGATTTCACTGTGAATCTCGTAAGTTACTAAATAAATTATCATCTGATTCTATGAGCATGTAATGAAGTCATTCCAGGTACATGTGATTTATATATTCATTTATTTTTTATTTCTAATTTTAATATTATTTTTTCAATCTATTCAGATAAATAAATTGGTTACCCAGCTATTACCAAAATATCTATATACAAAGAAAAAAAGTCCTACCTACCTCCCGATCTCTGTTACTCTGTTTCTGCGCTTGTTCCTGACTTCTCTGCAACTCTTCCTCGAGTGTTTTGTTCCTTGACTCCATGGCCGTTAACCTTTCCTGGCACAGTTGAAGGGCCGAGGTGACCAGTGACAGTTTCGACTCCACTGCCTCTACTTCTAGCTTCTTCGAATGCAGGCTCTCCTCCAGCTGCCCCGTGTGAAAGGAACTTTGCCTTTTTTGTTAAAAAAAAAAAAAGTATTAGTGATGGCATTGAACAGAACATATATAGACATACATATACCAAAGATGAAAATGTGGATGAGGACAAAGGTGACATCAAAAGGTTTCAGAGATATTTTCCGTACTTAATGGTTTTATTCAGCTTAAGTTCTGTCTCTGCCAATGCTTCTTGCAGACGTTCAATTTCATAGGTGGAATGGCGTTCGTGGTGCTCCAGCTGTTGCTTTAAAACTTCAGTGCGGGTCGTGTACTCCTGTGTCACAACTGCTGCTCTGCTGTTCTGGGCCAGCTCTTGCTCTTAATAGGAAAAGCAAAAATGTTTGATTAAATCTGAATGATATGATATTGCATGCAGATGCACATGCAGCATGAATATGCACACACAGATAAACACATGCACACATGTGGAAGAAGAAGAAGAAGAAGAAGAAGAAGAAGAAGAAGAAGAAGAAGAAGAAGAAGAAGAAGAAGAAGAAGAAGAAGAAGAAGAAGAAGAAGAAGGATAAGGATAAGGATAAGGATAAGGATAAGGATAAGGATAAGGATAAGGATAAGGGGAAGGGGAAGGGGAAGGGGAAGGGGAAGGAGTTAGGAGAAGGAGAAGGAGAAGGAGAAGGAGAAGGAGAAGGAGAAGGAGAAGGAGAAGGAGAAGCAGAAGGAAAAGGAAAAGGAGAAGAAGGAGAAGGAGAAGGAGAAGGAGAAGAAGGAGAATGAGAAGATGAAGAAAATAAGAAGGAGAAGAAGAAGAAGAAGAAGGAGAAGGAGAAGGAGAAGGAGAAGGAGGAGAAGGAGAAGGAGAAGAAGGAGAAGGTGAAGACGAAGAAAATAAGAAGGAGAAGAAGAAGAAGAAGAAGAAGAAGAAGAAGAAGAAGAAGAAGAAGAAGAAGAAGAAGAAGAAGAAGAAGAAGAAGGAGAAGGAGAAGGAGAAGGAGGAGAAGGAGAAGGAGAAGAAGAGAAGGAAGAAGAAGAAGAAGAAGAAGAAGAAGAAGAAGAAGAAGAAGAAGAAGAAGAAGAAGAAGAAGAAGAAGAAGAAGAAGAAGAAGAAGAAGAAGGAGAAGGAGAAAGAGGAGGAGAAGAAAAAGATGAAGGAGGAGAAAAATAAAGAGAGAATACTACAGCATACAAATTACCGACAATGTAATTCACTCACCAATGGAAGATATGATATCATTCGGTATATTGTTACCAACCAGATCAATTTTCTTCAGGGAGCGATTATGGTGGAGACTCTCGAGGATGGTTTTACCTCCCGCTGCCCCGAGACTGTTCCATCGAATATCTGAATTATTCCAAAAATTAGTTCACATGAGAAAGGTATCGATACAAATGCAGACCCAATATGATTACCAAGAAAACAAAGTATAAAATTGGCCTTGTCTTTTAATACCATACCACTTGTAATTTCACATTTCTAGTTCTTTTGAAGTTTTGTTAAACTCTTTCTCACTTAAACTCTTTCTCACCACATACCAATAGCAGTCAGGGTATTGTTTTTTGCCAGAGCTCGGGCGATGTGAACAGCAGCGTCGGTTCCTAGCTGATTGCTTCTGAGGTCTAAGTACTGGAGAGCCGAGTTGTTTCCGGCGGCTTCACAGAAAGCTGCAAAGCTCTCTGTGCAAAGACCGAGATTGTTCCATTCCAATGATAACCTGAAAGATTTCACCTGGTTTTTAATTTTTTTTTTTCAATGTGTTTCTTAAAAGACTACTTTCTTTAAGGAAACTTATAAACAACAAGAAAAAATTAATAATAGTGATAATAATAATGATGGTGATGATGAAAATAATAATAATAATAATAATAATAATAATAATAATAATAATAATAATAATAATAATAATAATAATAATAATAATGATAATATTGATAATAATAATAATAATAATAATAATAATAATAATAATAATAATAATAATAATAATAATAATAATAATAATAATAACAATAATAATAATAATAAAAAACAAATTTAAAAATACTTTCTGTACTGTAAAACAAAATCATCTTAGTAGCAAAAAACAATATCAGAAAAAATCAAGAATACATTGACAAAGCTTCTCCATGCAAATATAATAAGAAAGGAAAAAAAATATAAATGCACAAGAGATAAAGCAAATAAATACTAAACTTCAGAAGAAAGGAATACAAGCAATATTTAATTCTTTTAATGTAAATGTACAGCCTCAAATACCTTGTTATCGTACTATTATGGCGAAGCATTTTTGCAACAGCATGGGTTCCATTGCCCTGTACACTATTACCCTTGAGGGACAAAGTCTTCACAGAGGAGTTACCGCACAGTCCTAGAAGAATTGATTTTATACCATCTTCTTCTAGTAAGCAGTCCTCAAAACTGGCCTTGAAACAAACAATATCAAAATTTATGCAGTTACATCATACCTCCTTTTAATTCAAAATTCTAAGAGCTCAATAGATGCTACTTATCACTGAGATATGTGTGGCATTTACATTAACCAGTATTAAAAGAAAATCAAAAGCTTTCTACACTAAGCTGGATGTGTTATAAGGAATTGTGATTCTGTTTTATTTTTTTAGTAATATAAATATATATTTTTTAACTACAAATGAAATAGCATATACTCATTATCATTAGTTTTTTTTTTTAATTCACATACATGCTTCACAATCTTTCAGTGTTCTCATATGCACAGTATGACAAAATAAAATAAATCATATTGTATGACAAAAAGTGGAAGACAAAACTTTTCCAGATCTCATATTCCATGAAATTGTTTGTAATGACTTGACTGACAAATACTTCATTCATCATCATGTAAAACTAAACACACAGAAGGGCATGCAATAACTGAAAACTTATGTTTTAGACTATAAGATATTGGGACATGTTCAACCTTTAAAACTACATATGATCAAAGTATGCAAAACATGAAGGTCTAACCAATTTTCCCCATTAAAGTGATATAACATACAAAAGAAAAAATAGAAAATGAAAGTTCCAGTTTACCCTCACACTGGAAATGATTCTGTCAGCAAAGAATTGTCTAATATGTGTCTTTCTGATTCCTAGGCTCTATCTCCCCCCATCCCAAACCTAAGAGTATCTCAAGTTGGCTATTGGGGGTTAGGGAGGGGTAGCTAAGCTTAGGAGTATTATGTATGTGTTCTTAGGTGTACTAGTGTAGGCTGGTGAAATGTGTCTGCTTTGTTTAGGCATATTATATGTTGTGGGAGCCTATTCCAGTCACAAATGGGGCGTGGAAAGTATGAGTGTTTGTAGGAATCTGTATTGGCATGGTATGTTATGTATTTCTTGTATTTGCTATGTTTGCATGGTGTAGGTAATCTTGTTTGTTTATATCAATTTGACTGTTTGTGACTTTGAACATAGTTGTTAATCTGTGTGCTTGTCTGTGTATTGTAAGGGGGTCCATGTGTAATTGCTGTTTAATATGTGTTGTGATGCCAGGAGTTTTAGTGTAATTGTTTGCAATAAACCTGGCTGCTCAGGTGTTAATCTTTTCTAATTTTCTAATAATTGTCTGTGTGTGTGGGTCCCACACTGCTGCACTGCTCCAGTGTTTAGTGTTTTGTGTACAATCTAGTGAAGAGTCTGTCCAGTGATTCCATTAAACTGTAGTTTTTGAGTCAGTCTTTTGTGGGGGACTTTGTCAAAGGCTCTCGCAAAGTCTTGCACAATAGTGTCTACCTGTTTAACATCACATCTGTCAAGGAGTCTGGAAATGTTGAGATGAAAAAAAAAAAAGAGTTGGGATTTGCACGATCATTTGGGTCGGAATCCGTGCTGTGAGTCATTTAGTATGTTGTTAGTGTCAAGATGAGTCATTATGTGTTTGTGTATATGTTCAAAGATTTTGGAGATGATGGAGGTGAGGGAGATAAGCTAATAATCTGATGGGGCAGGTCAGACATCTGAATTGAAAAGATTTGTGACGTCTGCACAAAGCCAGTCGGGTAGGAGAGAGGATGTCCTGAGGGATTGTGTGAATATGATTTGGAGGATGGGGGCAAGGACAGGGGCACAGGTTTTGGGGGAAAAGGAAGGGTTTTTGTCGAGTCTACCTGTTCTATTTGTGTCCAGTATTTCTAGCTGTTTTTGTATTCCATTTCTTCTGATGTCTAGAGTCAGTATGGCTGGGTGGGGGCTGTTTGGCATGTTTGGTGTAATGGAGTTGTGTGAAGACAGAGTGGAACTGTGCATTGAGTAAATGAAGTTTGTGTTCTGGTGTGGTAATAAGAGTGCCACTGTGGTCTTAAAGTGCAGCTATGTTAGTCGATGGGGTCAAAAGGGGATGTAGAGGTCCAGTCGATGTTGGGGAGGCTTAAATCACCTGCGATGTGCTTGTCCAGAGTGATGTGAGTGAGATGTGTGAAGGTTCTGTAAGTATTCTGTGTTGGAAGAAGGAGGTCTATAGAAAGCAGTGAGCAAGAGTGATTTACAATTAGAAATATGTAGTTGAATCCAGGTGATCTCACAGTATGTTGCTGGTCATTGTGAATGGAACAGCTGTTTGTGACAATTGAGTATCATCTTGTTAAAACTATTATTTAAAAAGCATCTTGAATTTAAAATCTATCAATGAAATTAAAATGTATATATATATATATATATATATATATATATATATATATATATATATATATATATATATATATATAAATATATATAAATATATATATAAATATATATATATATATATATATATATATATATATATATATATATATATATATATATATATATATATATATATATATATATATATAGATTGTATATAAAAAAAGTTAAAAAAGGTGGGTATGTGCCAAGTTCTATATGTAATTAGCTGGAGGAAATAGGTGGGGGAGAGGGTAAGGAGCTAAGGCGGCCATGTCTGTCCACTAAGAAGGCCAACAACCAACCGTACTTTCATGTACTTTCAAGGTTATGTAATGAATAATCAAAAAGGGATATACCAAATCACACCATGAAACAACACAATTCACTTAAAACAAAGAAATGTGTAACCATGTGACAAATTCATTTTTCTAACCACTGAAGAGAACTTTACCTTACTGATACAAGTTGTTGACTGTAGTATTTTACCCAACACAGCACATGTACCAACTGCTAAGGTCTGGTTTGCTAAGTCTAATGCAGGAGTCCTGAAACAAACATTTCAACAAAAGTCTAATATTTGTAGGTAAACAGGATTATTAATGGAATTTCTTTCACTGGTTAAACAGTGGTGGCATTAAGTTTTGGGATTAGGTATTCAGTTAGGATATCTCCAGAACTATACATTATATTCTGGTTTATTGAAACCAATCATTACAATGAATGACAAAACAGTCTGCCACATTAAGAAAACTGATATAAGCAAAATAGATTTAACAGACTCATGTATACTTCTTATGTATGAGAGCAAAGATGCAACTATTATTATTGCATACAGGTTATTGTAAATTGTCCACAACAGAACCAAACAACAACACAAACTTCCACAAGGTATATCTTATTTGAGAATAAATCTTTAAATTAGAATCCAAGCATTTTCTTGGCAGGATTTCCACATCTAATTTCACCACTACAGGCTCTTAATCCTTCATTTGAACTTATTTATAAACACTTTTTCTTTTTCCTAATAGCTTTATGAAATCCTGGTCTGCATGTCTATCCACTTATCAATACCAACAGTTCATACTTGTGGTTCTTTGAGAGGTTACCAGGGGGGTTTCTTAAGAGAGTAGTAAAGACACTACAACGATTATGCTTTTCTATATATACATTTAGTACAGTTAACCAATTGGTACAGGGTGATTGCACTGTCCACTGTAGTTTGTTTTATGAATTTTGTTTACACATAGTTGGCTCCAAAAATACTTCATCACTAAATTCAATTAGGAGGCCTACCTGACTTCACCTTGAATGTTCTAAGGTTTCTAATATTATCAATGTTATTTTCATCATTACTGACATTACTGAATCATTATATCATTAGCACTACTGATAACACAAAGAAATTATTTGTAAAAATGTTTCTGAAAATCAAGTAAAAGAGTAGTCAGATGTAATTAGATAGGATTTGTAATTGTTTCCTTGATGAAGCTCTTATGGAGTTATGTTTGGTAACTAAAATCAGTGTTCATATGGCATGTATTTTTGCCAACTCAGCATCATTAGGTTTTCAAGACTGATACATATGCAACCAAGTGCCTTACCTGTTTTACCTGTCCTCCCTGATATGCAAGTACAATCCCTCATTCATGCATGTTATATATCATAAATTGTTACCCAGTATTTGTTACCAAGAGTGATGCGCCCTCCAGAGATGTAGTCTCAAAACCATGGTATCATGTGAACTCAAATACCCAAACCTAACCTTTCCTACCTTCTATTCGTTCCAAAGCCCCCCTTGTCCCTCCCCTTTATTAGCACTTTGTGCCAACTCACACAAAAGATGACATGAATAACTCTGACTGCATGAGGGTGCTGTGGACTTGGTCTCTGAACAGTGACATGCAGCAGATATTTGTTGATATCTCTAACTCTTATGTTTAAATAGATAGCAGTGTCCATTTCCCTCCGTTTCAATGTCGCTCTTAGTAACATTAACCTGTTACCCATCATATGAAGATGATGTATAGACCAACGATATATGTTATTTTATTAGATTAACCAATAAACTTGAGGGACACAGTAATTTTATTTCAACTAGTAATCAGAAAAAAAGTGTTGCGTCTACCATATGAAAGGGATATACATAAACCAAGAACGCAAAATATTCCCTATGAAAGTGTTCTTAAGGAGACCTTTATAACGACAAGTATTCCACGAAGGAAAATTTGGCTAGGAAACGCTGATCAGGAATCTACCATTATTTCTTTTATTCTTTCCTATCTCCTCCTTACTTACTGTGATAGCGCTTGGCAAACGTTGTCCTGTACTTCAATATTGTACTTTTTGCATAAGGCTTTGAACAGTTCACACGGATTGGTCATTTTCCCACATAAAATTACAATATCACACTGTTGACAACTTTCATTCTAAAATTTGTTTACAAACAAAGCGTTCTTTTAGGAAATGACGTCCGTTCGCGTAAACTTCGATGCGCATTCGTTACATTATATATATATATATATATATATATATATATATATATATATATATATATATATATATATATATATATATATATATATATATATATATATATGGGGGGTGCATATACATATATGTGTCTGTGTGTGTATGTATTCATACAAATACATATCCGGCAAGTGGCTATCCCTAAATGGTTAATGGTTTGAAAAAATAAATGTGCTAGACATCGAAGGTCGTATAGCACTATGGCAAAGTATTGTGGCGAAAAGGTTGGAAATGAGTTAACGATCAGGACAAGATGTGTTAGATGTCAAAGGTTGTAGAACGCTATATGATAGAATGGGGTATAGAGGGAGAGCAAACGGAATACGGTGGGAATGTGTAAAAGGGGATGGGGTTAAAGGTATTGGGCGATCAGGTATGGAGAGAATGTCTTAGAAGGGGAGAGTGACACTGTATGAAGAAAACTGCAAAGGAGCTATTATGAAACAATCAAAGGGTAATACAGTAAGAAGTAATAGTTGTAGAAGTAGAAGAAGAATCCACAGGATGAGATAAAGGAACAGGAGAAGGTGGCGAAGTATCGGAAAGAATGTCAAAGGGGGAGGGATCCGGAGAAGGACATAAGGGAGTCACGTGAGCATATAGGTGGGAGTGGTAAGGATAATGGGGAAGGAAGAGGCAATGGTGATGTACATAGAGGAGGAGAGGATGAGGTGTTTTTTTCGGAGAGTGAGAGGAAGAGGGTTAGGGGGGACGTGAGGAGGAGAAGGGTGGATATCGGCAAATAGGAACAGAGGGATTAGAGGGTGGATGAGAAAGTGGAGCATTCTCTTGGATCATGTTTAGGAATTTTTGGGTGTCTTCAAGAGTTTCTGGAGGGGAGTTGGGTGAAGAGGTCTGAGAAACAAAGGTTTTCTTATGTGGAAGAGAAAAGGGAATAGATGTCCGAGGCGCAGAGGGAGAAGTGTGATGTAGGAGAGGACACTCCACTAATAGAAACATCATGGGGGAGGTCATTCTACGGAAGCTGATCTTGGCAATATTGGCGTAGGACTTAACGTTGGCCTCTGGGAGAAAAAGTGTAGCACTGCATCACAGTCGACGAGGCATGCGAGCAAGACGTTTTCACAGTCTTGACCGGCCCTTGTCTTAGACAGGACAATCAGTCAGAGAGACGGAAACAGTCCCGGTACAAATATTAAGGGAGGAGTGAAGTTGGGCAGCAGTAGGTTTGCCACTGAAGTCAGCCAAAGTAGACATTGCACGAGCTTGTGGCAGATGTGAATGTGACAAGGCGTATAAATCGGAACGACTGCGAAAGGAAACTTTGCCATCTGTTTTTGGAGACATTGTTGGAAGATAAGGGTATTGTCAGAGTATGGGAGTGTACGGGTAATTACAAAGAATCGATCCCATTTGGCTAGGTCAAAAAGGCTACTCAAAAGGTTTTGAAGAGGTGGCTGTAGTAGAAGGACGAGGGCGAGAGGAGGATGG